GAAGAAGAAGAAGAAGAAGAAGAAGAAGAAGAAGAAGAAGAAGAAGAAGAAGAAGAAAAGAAAAACAAAACTGGCATGGCTGAGAGGCCAGGAGGCTGGCAGAGAGAGATGGGGGTGGGGAGAAGACAGACGTTTTATACTCCTAGGAAGGAACGAGATGAGATCTTTCACCATATCCTGAAGGTTAATAAACTGGGCTGGGAAATTAAGAATGAGTTCTAATTGAAGGTTAGCAAAAAGCCTGAGGAAATGCAAAAGCTTCTGTTCACTTCCATCTAGCTGCCTCCCAGAAATTAAAAATCCCGACCCGTGAGATAGATGAGCCAGTCTCTCCACACCCATGTCCGTGTTAGAGCCTGGGGAATGAGGTATCTTCTAAGGTGTTGCTTTAATGTAAGCAATTATAATTAAGCAAGAACAGCATAGGCTATAATCACACACACCCACTCTGAACCACTGAGAAGAGGCTGAGAGGCAAGAACTGCTACAAATGCACAGGAAGGAATGTTCTAGAAGGGTAAGAGGATGTAAAACCAAACACGATTCCTACTGATAGGGTAAAATATGTGTTCCTTTTGGTGTCTCAAAAGCACCAGGCTTAAATCAAATGTTTTTCTGTATGATTGAGTTGCTTTTTAAAATACTTCCAGGGTAATAGATTTTGTATACGAGATATCACCTTTCCAACAGACACACAGAAGTAGGTTTAGAGCTGTCCTAGGCTACATGAGGATCTTCCTACGCATATGGAGGCCAAAGGGCCAAAGGACATCTTGCAGGAGTTGGTTCTTTTACTGTGGGGTTCCAGGGATTGAACTTAGGTTTTTAGGTTTGGTGGCAAGCCCCTTTACCCACTGAACCATCTCTCTCTCTCTCTCTCTCTCTCTCTCTCTCTCTCTCTCTCTCTCTCTCTCTCATGTGACTCATTTTCTGAGTATATTCGGTTAGGATTTCACACTCTGATTGATGAAAAGTTAGAATTTCATTTACTGAAGTGAATGTTTAATATTTTTCATCAACCATCCCTTAAGTTACCATAATAAAATTTGGTAGTCTCATCTGGGACTTCTTGTAAGGAGCAAAGCTCCATGCCCCGTGGTAGATGGTGGGCCTGCTGGGGATCATGGAGCAGTGCACAGACCAAAGTTGACTACTGTCTCCACTCTGACACCCTGGGACCTGCTGTGACTATTCCATTGGAGTCCAGAGTCACAGAGGATCTGCCTTGGGCTTCTCTCTCCAGGCTGTCTTTGTTGGCTACCAATTAAGAAGCCAACCCCTGAACTGTCAGCACCAACTACAGAAAAATAAAGACAGAGGTGGAAACTTAAGTTCACGTAATTTGTGGTGAACCCAGCATTTAAATGCAGGCTCATCTCCCTCCTAAAGGTTTGCTTCCATTCTTACCCCTTCGTCATCGTCAGCATCAATCTCAATACCTTTAGGGTCTTGGGGATTGCTTCTACCTTTCAAAGTTTAAATACTCCAGAGAAAAGTGTCCCCTTAAAAATCCTCATGAGATCTCACTGAGCAGGGGTTGACTGGGAGTTATTCTCATCAAGGTATCTTCCTTAGGATGAAGATGGCTTACAGAAATGAGGCTAATCCTCAGAGTGAGAAAGGTAAGCATCAACCAGGAAGGACTGTGGGATGAGGCCGGCGAGTGGAGAAGGCCATGCTTGGTGTTTGACCCAGCTGGAAGGTTCTGTTACTGGTTACAAAGAAAGGGAAGGTGTGATTTCTTTTTATTTTATTTTTTATTTTTTTATTTTTTTTGTATTTAGGAATGACGACTGGGTGCCTATCACAGCTTAATTCGGAGGGAAGTATTCAGGATGTTGGCGTGAGATGGCCACTGCTCGTAGGTTGTAATGAAGTTCTCTGACAGGCTGAATGTATCCTGCTTTTCCAGCAGAAAGGGAAGAAACCAGAGCTTTGCTAAGAGAGACTCTTGAGGCCTGCGTCTACCCTGCAGGATGGTTGAAATTCTGACCCAGGGGCATACAGGGTTTGAAAGCTGCATTTTCTATCTTAAATACAAGTTAATATCCAGAAATTGCTAATTGTGTGCTCTCTCTCCTCTCCTCCTTCCTCTCCTTTCCTCTTTTCTCTCTCTCTCTCATCTCACTGTATATTTCAAGATGGCCTTGAACAAACCACCCTCTATGTCCGCTGTGAGATCAGAATACAGCAAAAGACTCATCGACCTTCTCCTCAGTCTCCTGGGCTGCTAACTATTCTCTGACACAGAAAGGGAAGAACTCTATGTTTTGTGATGTTCTATCTGGGAGTGGTATAAAGGTGAATTACAAAAATCTTCCTATTAAAAAACATCAAACCTCTCTACCCAAGGCCATTGTTTTAATTTCCTTTGAAGCAGATGCTAAGATGCAGGGAGGGGCTTAAATAGTGCTCTCATGCGGGGTGTGGCCCATTAGTGGGCTGTAGATCAATCTGCTGGACCATGACCAGTGGCCAGCTTTGCCTTACTTTCTTTTATTCTTATTTTTAAAAATGACCTGTGAGTATAAAGATAGCTATTTAGAATGTAGTTAGGGATTGTGCTGGTTTAGAAAGGAATGTAACAACAATTAAAGAAAAAGAGACCATGGGTTTCAGTTGGGACAGGAGTGCATACGGAAGGGATGAGAGGGGTAAAAGAATATTGTAATTATAACCCACAAAGTAGAAAAAGATAATAAAATAAATTATAAATATATAATATATAAAAATAAATTAGATAACTACTCAAAAAAGAAGGTGAATGATGTCTCACTGTTGGGATCCAAACCCAGGAAACTACCTGCTGTCCTAAGAGAACCCAAGTTACCTGCTGTTCTAGAAAGCCTAGTCAGTACAAGGTTAAGAAAAGACGTTCACAGGTCTCAGGCCCCAGGAACTTAAAGAACATCTGGCATTTCCTGGGAGCCTAGGACAATAAGCATATGACAGTGGGATGGTCTAGGGCAATAAGCATTCAACAGTGGGATAGCCCTAAGCAATAACCCTCACCCAAACTTCCCGGTTTGCTGTGTCTTTATAACCTGCCCCTGAAATTAAAGTCTCAGAGCTTGATCAAAACTCCACACTTGCTCTCCTTCTTGTGTCTCTTGTCCTTTCATTCTTTTGCCCCCTTCCCTAAGGTCTCCTCGAATCCCCGAGAGACGGGGCATCTCACCATGAGTCGCATACACTGCAGGTAAATTCTGTAGCTTGAAAATTGTGATTTGATTATATTATGCATAGCACATACATAATTAATTGTACATCGGGTTCACGAAATAAAATTCTTTTCACTTTATGGGTTGAGTCCTTAAGGTCTGAAAATTAGCCGGGTGTTGGTGGCACACGCCTTTAATCCCAGCCCTTGGGAGGCAGAGGCAGGTGGATTTCTGAGTTCGAGGCCAGCCTGGTCTACAGAGTGAGTTCCAGGACAGCCAGGGCTACACAGAGAAACCCTGTCTTGAAAAACCAAAAAAAAAAAAAAAAAAAGGTCTGAAAATTAATAGTCTGGGAAGATGGACAAAGCACAGGAGTTTTTGCTGGAAAACAGGAGTTTCTAGCTTTAGCACGTATGACCAAACAAAATCTCTGGCTTTGATTATTGCTCGGTAGAGTTGTCTAGGAACACAAAAAGATGAAAAAAATAAAAAGCCTATTACATTTTTGAGACGTGCATTGCAGAAGAAACTCTGAGAAAGGCCATGAAGACTGTAAAGTAACTAACATCTCAGGGCCACCTTTAGCTAGACAACGTCTAGCTCCTCTTTCTACACTGGGCATAGGTTCACATCCTCACCCCTGGGCTGATGGTGGCACTGGGAGGTGAGTCTTTGGGGATCAGGTGAGGAATGGCCTTCATGACTACAGTACATTCTGCTGGATCAGGGGCCTGAAAGGTTTCCGTTGCTCCTGCTATAAACTAAGGCACAGGGAAAAGAGAGCCATTCCCGAGTCAGGAAGCAGACACTCGGCAGATACAGCATCTTCTCGAATTTGGTCTTGTACTTGCCATCTCTAGAACCACGAAATAAATGCCTGGCCCTACAACGCCCAGCCTTTCATAATCCATCTCAGAAGCCTAAACAGATGAACACCCTCAAACTTGCACCGAAGGGAAAGGAAAGTAACCTTTTTCCCAGAGAGTACGCCTCTCTCAAATCTGTTCATGAAGGACAAACGAACAGGGATGATATTTCCTGGTCTATATTATGTGCCAAGAATTCTATCCACTGCCAGGAGTTTTAATGACTCCTGTTGTCTAGGATGCGGTACACGCCATTTCCTATTTCCTTCACACAGTTTATTATTGTTGGTGTTACTATCTGTAGCCTGTTTTTCTTTGTTATACTGGGGATATCAGTGCTAGATAACCTAATTTAACCACAGGTCACTGGACCATAAGGAATTATGTCTGAATTTCAAGAAGATAGGGTTCACGGAGGATGCCTCATTCACAAGCTTCTTGGATCTTTTTGTTTGAGTGGCATGCATTTTTATGTGCTCCTGGACATTTCTATTGCAGTTAAGCATGAACAGATGTTGAGGAGGGAAAGAGGTGGCCTGCAGGTGATGTGTTGCTTGCTGCCTAGCCTAGCACACAGGTCTCCTTACCCCATCTTTTTTTTTTTTTTTTTTTTTTTGGTTTTTCAAGACAGGGTTTCTCTGTATAGCCCTGGCTGTCCTGGAACTCACTCTGTAGACCAGGCTGGCCTCGAACTCAGAAATCCACCTGTCTCTGCCTCCCAAGTGCTGGGATTAAAGGCATGCGCCACCACTGCCCGGCTTCTTACCCCATCTTAACAGATCCAGCTTTTCCGAATGACTACATCTCCACTCAGCCATGAACTTTGGGGTCTACTCCAACCGTGAGCCCCAAATGATCTGAGTCGGGCAACATATTTTACATCAACAGTCACACCCATTTTTTTAGAGGTGGGTTTTGTGTCTTGGGATGGCCATGTCAGCTAATTTTCGGGAATCTGACTTAGATGAACAGTACAGAGGCAATCCCGACCATTTAACGGAAATAAAGAAGCAGAGACCCAGACGTTGGCTTGAGATGGTCAGTGATTCCCAGGATAGTAAGGCTAGCCAGCACATTCCTGAAACCTAGTGGAGTTAATTTCTGATAGTAATATGTTAAAGACACATAATTCATCTACTTTATACTTGTTTTTCCTATGCCAGATGATTTCTTACAGGGCCTTGCCCCTAGGATACCAAGAGGGTGGGTGTGTTGCTATGGGTTTCGGTAGCTGCAGTAGAGCCTATTCTAGAAAATTCCTTTTTGTGCCTAATTGACCCCAATGCTACATATATATTTACAAAATATGTGGCTTTTAATTCTTTGGGAGACTTAAAGTCTTTTAAGGCGGCCTTTTGTTTATCCTGTCTGATACAGTTTGGACATAAAATGTCACTTACAAGTTCATGTCTTTGAACACTCGGTCCCTAGCTTTTAGCACTGCCTCTGGAGGTTGTGGAGCCATCTGGAACTGGGTGGCTACCTGGGGAATGTAAGTCAGTGGTGGTTTTGGGTGTCATAGTTCATTCCTGCTTCTGGTCCCAACCAACATGTGCTTCCTGACCCTCATACATGTGAACAAGCAACCACAGGTTCCCACTGCCCTGAATTTGGCCATGCCTTCCTGCCACAGGGCACTGAATCCTCTTAAGCCACACGCCAAAATAGACTCTCCCACCCTTAAGCTGTCTGTTGTCAGGCAGGCATCGAGCAATGGAAGAAGTTACCACGCCATCCCTGATTGCTTGCCTGTCCTTAGCCTTCTCTTCTGTGTCATGAAAATATCCAACTGTTTAGAATTCCAGACTCCATACGGACTGGACATCTTGTGGTTGGGCTGACTGGACTGACCAGCTTTTCCCCCCTCTCTGTGCTTCACCCCAGTTTCTATCATAAGAAACCTTACAGCCTACAGCACCACAGTGATGCTTTATTTCCTAAGACCCTTACTGAGGATCTCTCTCTCTCTCTCTCTCTCTCTCTCTCTCTCTCTCTCTCTCTC